AAAAAAAAAAGGCAAGGAAGGGAAAGAAGCCAGCAAGAGACTGAAAAGAGCAAGAGAAAGTGGCAGCTGAGAAGGACTGTGAAATCACCTCCCCTTTCTTGGACTGTCGATCAGAACGAGAGTTGTACATTATTATTATTGTTTTTCTTTCTGCGTCTGTCTGTCCACATACACAGGCAGAGAAAGAGACAAGTACTGACAGTGAAACTCGACGAGACCAGCCATGGTAGCAAGGGCTCAGCCTGATCGGAAACAATTACCGCTGGTCCTACTGAGATTGCTTTGCCTTCTCCCTACAGGGCTGCCAGTCCGCAGCGTGGATTTTACCCGAGGTACCGATAACATCACCGTGAGGCAAGGGGACACAGCCATCCTCAGGTAGGGCATTTTGCCAACTTTTCCTCTTCTGTGTGTGCATCTATATTGCCATGTATGCAACGTGTACGTGTGACGTGATATAGATTTGTGTGTATGTCTCTGTGAGATTGTGTGTTAGTTTACCTCTCAAACTACAGTAGCAGCAGCTGCTACAAACAGGCTCTCCCTATGTGTTTGTGCTTTAATATGAAAAAGATAGCAAAAATTTTGAACACTTCTTGCCACACTATCCTGTGTGTAGTGCTCTGGATCGAAAGAATTTCAGTGGGGAAAGATCTGCCAGCTCTTTCCACCAGCCCCGCAGTATTCAATAGAGGAATCGAAAAGGGATCCAGCTGTGCTTGCCAGATGTTCCATTGATCTTCCCATGCTTCTTTTTGAACATATGCAAAAACTTTATCCCTGGTGCTGCCAGAACTCTCAGGCAAGTTCTTTTGGGAAACTCTTGTCATTTAATTTTATTTATTTATTTTTCTGCCCTGTGGGGAGGGAAGATGGATACAATTGTTGAAAAGGCTGGTGAAAAGATGGTGTAGCAGCTCTGACTGCTACAATTTACAAAGATTGCATCTTAGTGTGCTGGGGTTTTTTACAGGGCTAAATAAATGGGTGTATGCTGTGCCTGTGTGTCTGGTTGTGATGAGGATTTCTTTGCACATGAAACCTTGCTTACTGGCAGTATGAAGTGTTATATTTCTGATTTCATTGTGCAGGTTTTCCAAAGGTACTTCTGACATTACTTGGGCTTTCAGTAAGGAGCGTCCCAAATAGCTGAACTGCAGTAGTCTTTTTCCTGTAGGTTCCTTTTTCCGAATTCTGCCTTGCTCAACTTACCTGCAGTAACTCTGCTACTGAAGGAAAATTCTATGTGTATGAGTGTGCACACTGTGTATTATGGCTGTAAAACTACTGGGTGTAATTTAAAATAAGTCTGTGATCTGTGTGAGGAGCTGATAGTGCACAAACCCTGAAGCATCAAGGGAGCAATCCCCTAGTAAAGCTAACAGCAGCAGCAAAGTTTTCTTTCTCTTTCCATGAAATAAATCCTACTGGATGTCACCAAACACTCTGCTACACAATCCCCTGTGTCCTGCATCCCTCCCATTTAATGATAGAGGGAAGAAGTATGCTGGAAGAGGGATGTGTGTGCGTACGCATATCGCTTTGGTCGCCTCCCATGTCCTCAGTTGTTTTGATCCTGGAATATCCATTCAGCAGCTTCCATTCCCCAGCTCTCCAGACTTGTTAACTTGAATGTAAGATTTATCCACACAGAGTAATAGGATTTACAGAGTAATTCATCTGCCTTGCATATGCAGTGGAAGCGGTTTAGATTCGACATGGTAAACACCTAACAAGGGGTGTTGCCTCTGACTCCAGCTTCTCTACTCTCTCTTCCACTCACTACCAATTCATATATCCCATTAACCCTTTTCTAGCAGGACTCCTAGCTGACTTATCCCATTTTTAAAGCCAAATCGCTTCCATCAATCATTTATTTTGGAGGGGCTGCTCAGACAGATGTTTGCCAGCATGTTTGCTACATGCAGCAGCAGACAAGTCATTAAGCTCTCTTGCCCAGACAGGGGTCACTAGATTTCTATTTCCCACTTAACCTTGGAGCTTTTCAGTTTATCTAGCTGCTGTGTGCTAAAGCTGCATTTGCAGCCGAGAGGGCTGAGCGGATGGTGGAGATGGTGCCTGCAAGTGCTGCGTGTAAAGCGTTCCTTCATCAGCCAGCTCCACGGGGCTGCATGGGAGAGTGGTTTCAGTGATTGCGTGTGGCTTGCCCGTCTTATGTCAGGCACTAAAATAAAACACCTGAGTGAAGTGATCCAGCTGTGTCAGCCAGATGTGTGCCAAGTGACACAGTCTGCAGGAGCAGCACACCACCCAGCCATGTAAATGCTTGCCCCGGGCAATACTGTGTTTCTGGCAGGCTGCATTTCTGTCAGAAGTGACTGTGACCGGTGCACAGGCTGTACCTTTTTCCTTCAGCTGTCTTCCTAAGCTCTTTAAGCAGATCTGGCCAGCTATATGCTTTTCACATTTCCTAGGAAGGGCAGCTGTCTCCTCTCCCTTTCTTTGAGACCAGACCCAGGTTTCTGGGATATTTCAGTTCCTTCTTCAGACAAGAAGCAGAAACCAGGCTGTACTGGAAAACAGACTGCCACATGAAGCTAGAAAGTCTGAGATTTTCCTGTGTCCCATGGACTTTAGGTCCTGCAGGATAACATTTAATGTCCTCAGTTTTAAAGCAAAGGTTTGTTTGCTAGCTTACCCCTCACTTTTTTCTCAATCCTCCAAAACATAACTCACTTTAAGGCATCCTTGTTTTGAAAAACTCCCAGTGCCTCACTCTCTCTGTCTATAGATCCACTATGGCAACAGAAGAAAAAGAGCTAGATGGGAAATAAAAAACCTCCATTAGATGATCCATACTAACCGTGTTCAAAGCAGAACTTTATGTCCACAGAGAAATAGGTGAGAGTTTTCTATGCATGGATCATATCACCTATCTTTGCTAAACATCTGCTTCAGAGGGATTGTGCAGCATCAGTTTACCAGTGCCCAGTAGCTCCTGTAGCTTGAAGGGAAATGAAAATGTAGGAGGGAGAAAAAATGATGCGCAGTTGGAGAGAAATAAAAGCAATATACATAGTGATAAGATAACTAAAAACATTTTGTTCCTGTAAATTGTGATGCAAATCATTCAGCAAATCACCAGGGACAGGATATTCTAAATGAGCCTTCCTCTTGGTGTCTTATACATTTGTATATAGGGTTACACTTGTAGGTGGAAAAATGGGTGGGTGGACTGATCTACAAAGTGGAGAAAAAAATAGTTTATTATAAGCCCTAATGTTCCTAAAGGAAGCCAGTCCTCTGAAGCTTCATCTGCAGCTTATTACTCAGAATAGAATTATTCTGAAAAGTTTGGAGATGACTTTTTAAAGCTATAGCATTTAAAATATTCCCCTGGTCTGGGACTATTAAAAAATGTCCCTAACTCTAAACTGGCTCATCTCCCAAATGACCTGGCAGCAGATTTGATTCATGTGTCGGCCTTGCTGAAGGTTGATGACTCTTAGTGAGTATTTGGCATGGGCAAGTTAGGGAATTGCAGAGAGACTAAAAATAGCTCATTATAGGCTATCCGCAGGGAAAGGGTAATTGTCTGTTCCTTAGAACAAGGCAGAAAAGAGAGGAGGGGTCTGAGAGCTGCAACAGGTGAGAAGGGCTGAGTAGAGTTGCTGGTGTTTGTCCAGCTGCGACCAAGAAAAGAGAGTAGGGTGTTTTAAAGATGACACTGTAGTATTGGTGGACCTTTAAAGACTTACTAAGGTTTCATTTAACTCTGTCTTCAGCAAGTGAAGAAGGACATAATTTTATTTTTAGTATTGAGAGGGAACTTTGGCTACAGTTCCTGCCAATGTCTTGCTTTCAAGATTACAATCATGAGGTTGTCAGGTTTTGTATGCAACTTCCCTGCTTGGTGTTAGGAAAAGAAGAAAATAATATCCAAACAAGAAATGCACAACATATCCCTTAAAATAATTAAAATAGGAAAAGGAAAACAGGCCCCAACCCCAAATCTTCTTGCTGTTTGCCAGCCTTCAGCACCCCTTCCCATTTCATTTGCTCTGCACATTTTGGGTGAGCAAAGGCAGGTACACTCTGTGCTCTGTAACACACGTTCAGCCTAGGGAGGGGATGAGGAATATGAGGATGCTGGCTAAGCTGAGACATGTGCAGTAATGAAGGGCAGCTGCTGTAAACTGGGAAGGAAGGGAACTGTGTTTCTGTGTTGTGTTTGGCCCTCTGGATGTTTTAAAAGCAAACTGGCAGTGGGGAGTCCATGTTATGGGATCAGGTACCTGTACAGCTGTCTCAGAACGACCACAGCAGCTCACCTCAAAGTGCCTTCCTAGAGCTCATCTGAGGGTGTCAGCAGGACTTGGAGGTTGCCCAGGGATTTTGGAAGTTCTGGCACAAGTGCAGATTTATTCTTTAAAACTCCTGAAATGGAGCTCATCACCAGCTGGAACCAAAATGGGTCACATCTCCATTCCAATCTGTTCTGTTATACCAGTACAAATCCACTAAAGCCCAAGGGCAAAACCAGAAATATTCCATTTGTCTTTGGGGCAGATTCCCAGGGACTGCTAATAAAGAGGTACAAGTGACTCATACAGGGCATAAGCTTCTGAGCACTGCTCAGATGATGTTTAGCCTTTGGAGAATTGGGATCTCATCAAAACCAGAATTTGGCTCATTGCTCTTGAGTTTTTCCAAGCATCAACTTTTCATCAAGAATTAAAACAATCTGATGCTGATGTACAGATGAAAACTAACATTTGACTGAGTGTGCATTTTTCATTTTTACCAGGTATTTTAAAATGATGTAAAGTTTCAGGCTGATAGCACATTTAGCAACATCCATCCTAACGGGTACTTAGTTTCTACAAGTTGTGTGTTTCAAAGGATGGGCTAGAATCAAATTACCAGCAGTAATGACAGTGCTGTTGGAGTAATCCTGCAGTATAAGCAATTTATGCAAACTCTGTTCTTGGCCTCCCAGTATTTTGCTGATATGTTACATGTGGAACTGTGCTAGAGGACAAAAGCACCTCAGGCAAAATAGCAACACAACATCACAACAAATTTTATGCCCTATACCGTCAGTTTAAAAGAAAAGTAAGAGCTGTTCAGATTACACTTCCAATTAGCATATGATTTATAACAGGGAGTACTGAGCTGAGCCCTTTGCAAGAAATAAGAATAGGCATGTTCAAACATATAATGCCACATAATAATACAGTCTTGGCAGTAAAATCATAACCTTGATTATTAGTGGTATTGTGGTGGCACTTAGAGGCCACCACTAGGTTGAGGCACCCTTTGTATTAAGTGCCACATGAGCAGAGAGTGAGAGATCCCCTCTTCTGCAGGGCAGGCAGGCTATTAGCTGGGATGGACCCAGGCTTGGGGTGGGCAGG